CATTTCTATTAATATATTAGTATTAGAAACTCACCTAGGGATTGCCATATATATAAGGCTGGATTCATGAGGTTCTTGCCTCACTGGAATCAGCTTATTCCTTACTCTGTGGGTGAGCTCAGTTCTGAAATAGTCCGGTAAGATAGTTACTCACCCTCATAGTTCTGAGTTAAGGACAGATGGCCCCAGGCAACACTGGTCCATGCGGGTGAGACTTCCAGTAGCCTCCCCCTTACTCATGCCCCTTTTCTTGCCCTTGTACCTCTTCCCTTAGTTCTCAGGGACTTTCTGCTCCTTTGCTCTTCCAGAGTCTTCTCAGAAAAAAATGAATGATGTATTCAATGGCTACTACTCTCAGGGGTACTTGTGTTGAACCAAATATGAGGAGCCTTAGCAAAAAAGAATTGATTTCTAGTATCAAACTTACAGGCATTGATAAAACAGGTAAGGAGTATGCTTCAGGAAGAACCATAATAGTGGTGATGAGTGTGTGTGTGTGAGTGACTGCGGGGATGCCACCTCAGGCTCCCTTTAGGCACCACCCATGGACATGACTGAAGAGGGATCCCAGTTGTCTACAGGTCATGATACAAATGGATAGAATATTCTTGCAAAGGCTTCGGTGGCTTAGTAAACTCTGCTCACCCAGTAAGACTGTGACCGATTCACCCTTTCAATCCATATGCCCAGTGCTGTATAGACCAGCTGCCATGCTCCCACTCTGTGGGCATTTTTGGTATCTCCCCTAGAACCCCCCCCCCCAACGAAGGTGCATATATTCAGTGAAGGATAATTGAAAGAAAGGTAGAAAGGTGTGCTCAGAGCTAGGCTACCAAATCCTAGCCCCTGTGGACTGGCAAAAAAGATTCAACAGAAAGCACATGGGTCTACATCAGTGGTTCTCAACCTTAAGTGTTTTTGCCCTCAGAGGACATTTGACAATATCTGGAAACATCGTTAGTTGTCACCCTCGGGGGTGGGGGGAGAAGGGGCCCCTTGGCATCTAGTGTGTGGAGGCCAGGGATGCTGCAGAACATCCTGCAATGCACGGGACAGGCTCCCATAAGGAAGAATTATTTGGCCCCAAAGTGTCAATAGTGTAGAGGTCAAGGAACTGGTCTAAATGAAGGTGGAAAGAGGACTCCAGTTTGGACTTCCATGACTTCCAGCACTGGACAGTGCTTGCAGAGGGGAGCTGTTATCCTCTGAATGACTAACTCCTGGGAGTCCTGGAAATGTTTGCACTTGTGTGTGTTCTCCAGCCCCTCTGTGATAGATTCAGGTCTGAGCCTGTTTATAAGTGGTCACTTGTATCCTTCGGTAAATTATTCAGCACCAACTATGTCCCAGGCACAGCTATAGGCAGGACAAGTAACAACAACACCTACAACAACATTAGTTACCATTTATTGACATTTGGCAGACTTGTGCTTAGCATTTTATGTGAATTGTATCCTCTAATATTGCACGACACCTGTAAAGGAACTATTTAACGTAATCCCTGTTTACAGAAGAAAGTGAGGTTGAGGAAGAACCAGTGGCTTGCCCAAGATTGTAAGGAAATGGTGGAAATGCACTGCAAAATCATGCACTTGGATTCTAGGGTCCAGACTCCTAGCCACTCAACTGCACAGAGAAAAGAAAGAGGCTGCCCCTGAAATAGAATCAGGCATCTGCATGTGGATTAGCCACACTAAATGATAATTTCCAGGAAATTTCATTCTAACTAAGTTTTATTTTAATTTCATAATTTGACTTGCAAGCCCCAAATTCCAGCTCAAAAGAGTGTGGGCTCAAACACTGGATTCTGTGTCCCTAGATGAGAAGCTCTGGTTTCGGGTAGCTCCCCGACCGGCCGGATGCGCGCCCTGCCCTCCTCCCAAACCATGAAGCGGAGGAACGACTTCGGTCCCGACCGAGGCAGGGTGAGGAGTGTTTGAACCGAAGCGCGTTGTCCCTCCAAAGCCCATCGGCACTCCTCCAGGCAGCGGCTAGCCTCTGAGAGCTCTTGCGCGCAGCAGCCGCCTCCACACTCCCCAGCTCTGTGCTCTCGCCACCGCCTTGGTAACCACTGCGGCCGCCGCAAGGAGGCTGCGTTTTCACCAAGCGCTCTCTAGGATAGCCCGTCAGAAAGCACCAAGGCTGCTCTTCTGGGAGCGGGACAGGGAAATAAGGCCTTGCATAGGGAAAGCTGAGAGGAAGAAAGGCACGCTCCTAGGAGAACTGCACCCGCTTGGACCCGGCCGGCAGCAGTGGCTCTGCAGCATCTATGAGCAGCTGGGAACAGGACGGACCTCGGCATAGGGTGACAAAACTGAAGCATTCGGGCTGAGGAGTAGGCTTGAGGTTGGGGGAGAGGGGCGGTGTCCAGCCTTTTCACATTCCTCCAAGCTCCATTTCCATCTTCCCCTATAGCCACCACACTGTCCCCAAGCCAGGGCCCTAGCAGGCCCATCTCCAAAAATGCCTTTCTGGTGGAGAGGTCTGTCACTGAAAGCTGGAGAGAGCCTGTCCCGGTGCACCTGACGACTCCCTCCCATATCTAGGGAAGGAGGTGATTCAAAGTGAGCCATTCACCCTTCCCATTCACTGTGCACCTGTTTCCTGAAGGCTGAGCTCCCCGGGGCCCCAAACCTCAGTCAAAGACAGACTGGTGGGTTGCGGGTAGTTAAAGGATAGAAACTTCACTCACCCAAGGGTTCTTAGAACCCAAGGGTTCTTTCCCAGCCGAAAAACTCAGCGTCAGAATCATTGATAATAAAACATTACTTGGGATTCGATTCACAGTATGCCTCAAAGCACCTTGGCTTCCTTTATATTGGTACAATGCCCCCCTCCTGGGAGTCAGCCGACTGGTCTCGGGTGAGACTGGGGAGGGTGCAGAGAGGCGGGTCAGATCGACTCTCCTCTGTCTCCAGCACAGCCCAGGAGTCTTGTTCCCGGAGGAACCAGGAATGGCCTATGGTGGGAAGCCAGATCGCACCTGCCTTTATTCTAGGAGAGGTGGAGAGAGCGCTTCCTGTTCAGCTTGACTGAAGGAAAAGACCATTTTAGAAATGAACCCCGCCGGTGTTGAGCAACCCCAACTGGAGCGCCTTTCACGAAAGAGGCATATGTTTGCTTTGCCTGGACATTGGAAGTCCGGGGCTACCCGGTGTGTGTGTGTGGGGGGGCGGGGGGTGGCAGGGAGATGTCTGGCAGGAAAAGAAGTGGCCCAGGTCTCCAGGAGGCGGACTGGGAGGTTTCTGCAGGTCGTGAGAACCCAGATCCGCTTTCCTGCGCAGCAGAAATACCCCACCTCCGCGGCTGTGCACTCTCCGCCTGGATGGAAACCCCAGTACTTCCTTCTCCTCGTCCACAGAACGAGTGAAAACCGCGCATATCTCCCCAAGGAGGATTGGGGTGTGGATCCTAAAGTCGTAGTGGGCTGTGGGGGTGTAAGAAGAATGGGTGAGAACATGGGTACCGGAGGCACGGGCGCCTGCTACACAGGGCCCCTGGAGGGGACCGCGGCGCCAGATCGCTCGGGGTCCTCGGAATCTTGGCAGCACCGTCTGACAGAATTTGCCTCAGAGCAAGCCGAGGGGGCCGTTCCAGAGAAGGCCGCACCATCTTGTTGGGAATGTATCCCTAACAAATACGATAGTTAAAAAAAAAAAATAACAATCATGTCAGAGCGCAGCAAAAGACTGAGCTTTCCGGCTTCTCTCGTGGGAGTTAGTCGCTGCTCATGGGGATGGCGGTCGGCACAACCAAACCCGCAGGGAGGCTGGCGGGGCGGGATCCCCGGCGAGAAGGGGGCGCTGCAGGGGTCTGGGCCAGAGGCACCGCGTGGGTGTCCTTCCGACTCGGCTCTCTGCTCTCCCCCACACCCGTGCACCTAGCTGGAGCTCCGCCGGAGACTAGGGAGCGCACGGGGCAAGTGGCGCACAGAAGGCAGAGTCCTCGCGGGGCGGAGGGTGCAGACAAGGGCTGGCGGAGCAGCAACGTGAGGGGCGGAACCGAGCGTGGAGCTCGGACCTGCACCCCCATCCCCGCCCTGCCCCAGCAGGAAGCCCCAACTCAGGTGGGCGCCTGTCCAGTCCTCCAGTGGAGGCCTGGGGTCCAGAGCCACGTGGATTTCTAAGAAAAAAAAGTTTATTTAAAATTTTGTACATAAATAAATAAATAAATATCTTCTGGTATTACAGAGACCGTACAATGACAAGCTAGACCGGGGCGGGGTCGGGGTCTGGGGTCTGGGGAAGAGAGGGGTCGCCGGGAGCGGAGAGCCAGGGTCTCATTTAGGGAAACGCAAAGCGTCTCCGAAACAAAGTGAGTCGGTTTCCCCGACACGGATATCACGGGCGACGATTTCTCTCGTGGGAGAGGAGCTGCAGGAACAGCAAGGCCTGACTGAGGGACAAATGGGCCCACTGAACCTCGAGGAGGGGACGGAAAGGAAAAGAAAAACAATAACAACAAGAGTTCGCAGATGTGTGTGTATGTCTGTGGTGGGGGGGAGGCGGGGTGGATAAACGACAGCAGCGAAGAAGTGGGGACGGAGAGAAAGATGTAAAAATAAAAGGGGGGGGGTCGCAAGCTGGCGTCCGAGGGGTAAGAGGCCCAGCTTGACCCAGGGTGGAGGGGAGTAGAGGACGCGAGAGAGCCTGAGCCAGTCCAGAGAGGTCGGGCGAGGAGGCGCCAGCGGCCAGCAAGGCGCAGGGCCGGCCCGCATGCCCTCCAGGGCCGCTGTGCTGCATCGCTGAGAAGGACTCCAGCGCCTGCAGGATTCACAGCTTGGAGTTCGCTTTGGACGGCTGCGGGCCCTGGGTGGGAATACCAGCGTCAGGTCTCTGCCAAGCCCTTGGCGCTGCCCAGGGCCCGGGACCTCCGCAAACCCTTGCCAAACCCGTGCGTGGCCGCGGTTTGGCAGCGGGGGCCTGGGAACCGGTGCTTCGTCCCACGACCTGTCTTTGAGACGGCAGGGAGGGCCTGGGGGGGGCGACCTGGGGAGGCGCGCGCCTAGGGAGTGACCGTGAGATCCCGGTCATCTTTCCCCGAAGAGGACGGAGACATGGGCAATTCGTCGTCATCCTCGGAGCACTTGGCTGAGGAGAGCGACGCGCATTTGCAGCTTTGCGGTGCGCCAGTGCCCGCGCCCGCGCTCCCGCCGCCGCCGCGGTGGTTGCTGCCTTTGCCCTCCTTCTTGTGCTTCACCCGGCGGTTCTGGAACCAGATCTTCACCTGCTTCTCGGACAGATTCAGGTAGGTGGCGATCTCAATGCGGCGCAGGCGGGACAGGTACATGTTAGAGGCGAACTCGCGCTCCAGCTCCAGCAGCTGCGTGCTGGTGAACGCGGTGCGCATCCTCTTGCTGCTGGGCAGCTGGTTGGAGCTGCTGTCTGGAGGGGGTGGGGTGCAGAGAGGGAAGCGATCAGTCTCCTGCGCTGTGGGCCCTATCCTCTCGTACGTGACCAGTAGAATCCCAGGACTTTGGTCTTTCACCTACCTCTTTGCCCCAAACGAGACGCACAGCAGCGTTACCGCGGGCGCCTCCTTGCTAAGCCGCGGGACCCAGATACTCCCAGAGTCACGCAATCCTGGCACTACTTTATGGAGCGCCCTGAACCTCAGCCCTCATTCGTTCCTGCGCGCCCCCTCCGAGACCTGGACCTCCTGCCCTCCCCCTCCCTCCTGGGTCCTCTCCCAGCCCTCCATCGGCACACCACCCTGACTATTCCCCCTCAGGGTCGCAGCATGACTTTCATCGTCCCCAGGACGCCCAGGGACCCTCACCCCCATCCCTGGCTCGCCAACTCTCATCAGGTCACCCATGCCCTGTCCCACTGCGCAGCGATTCGTCTTACCCACGGAGATGCAGTGGAACTGCCTGGGGTCGGGCAGCGGATAGGAGGTCTGGTAGAGCGCGGCGGCGGCAGCGGCGGCAGCGGGGCCGTGAGCGACCCCGGGCGACACGGCCGAGTGCTGGCGGCCTAGGGGCGCGTGGCAGTACTGCGAGCCGAAGGGCGGGAAGGATGCCTTGAGCAGAGGCAGCGCGGGCGGCCCAGGGGGCCCGTGCAGCTGGGAGGCGGTGACGCAAAGCGGGCACACGCACAGCAGCCCGGCCTTGCGCGCGTGGCAGGCGCCGGGCGAGAGGCCGTGCAGCGCGTGCGGCGGGGGCACGGCGTAGGGAAAGAGCGGCGGCGGGCTGCCCTCCGGGGCCTTCTTCTCGCCTGCCTCGCGCAGCACCAGCGAGTCCACCAGGAAGGAGCGCGGCATGGCCCCGGTGCGCTGTCGCCCCGCCGCCAGCCGTCTCTCTGCGCTCCGCGGACTTCGGGACTCTCCACGCCCTTCCCCCGGCCGCGGCCGCGCGCTGTTGCCTGTTCGCGGGAGGCTAAAGGCGCCACTGAGGCCGAGGCTGAAGCTGCGGCGGCTGCGGCCGCGGGCGCCGCGCGGAGAGCTCGGGGTGCTGGCCAGCGCTAGTGGTGCTGAAAGGCGCCGGCGGCGCCGCTTAAATAGGACTATTGCCATGTGATGGGCTACGCCAGGAGCGGCCGGGGCCTCTCAATAGGGTTTTTGTGCCTTTTCTCTTGGCATTCACTCTGCACGCTTCCTCATTATTTCACTTGTTAACTAAATGAACTGCATAATGTACTCTATTCTTGTCAACCCCACCCACGCCGTAACAGGCGCCCTCGCCCCCTCCTCTCCCTTTTGCGGGTTTATTTTCTCATTCTCCTGCGATTTAATATTCTTTTCTTTCTCTTTATTCCTTACTCCCCTTTGGCTTTGCATTGGCGATCGGCTGGTTTATCTTATTGATTTTGTAGCCCCGCTGCCTCGCTTCCACAGATTCCCATGGGCGCACACCTCGTCTCTGTGCGCACTGGGTCCCTCTCCCCTTCCTTCTCTCATCTACCCCTGCTCCCAAGATCATGCTTCCTCCACTCAATTTGCTCAGGTCTGCGTTGTGCACTCCGTAGGTGTCCCTACAGCCGGTCTCGGATTTCCACCTGTGGAATCCCTTTCCCTCTTCCTGCATGGGAGGACCCGAACTCCTGCAGGGGGGAGGTGCTGCTGGGGAGAGGGGAAAGGAGTTGAGTATTCCTTATCCACCACTAGCCCCAATGCTGTCTTTCAGAGCTGTCTTAAGTTTCTCCAAAAGTCTTAACTTTGCTGCTGCCCTTAACGCCCAGCCTTTGTTCGGTACATGCTAGTCAGCCAGACTTTTCCTTTAAATGACTGGGCTGTGGATGTAAAGTGAACAGCCTCTGAGAGTCACTGACAGAGGCAAGGAATGGGGAATAAAAACCTACACCGCGAAGCTAGAGCATCTCACTAGAAGAGGCGATGTAGGTGCTCTGCGGGGCACAGATCTTTCCGGCGCTCTCTCCACTCGTGCCCACGTCAAAAGACTCGGGGCTGCGCTTGGAAACCATTGCCTTCCCGGAGTTTGCCCCACAGGAGCAGGGCGAAGGGCCGTTGTATTCCCACCCTCTGGTGACTTCGCCCAACCGGGTCGACCTCCCCTGTCCCCAAGACCTCCTCCTGCCGCGTCGCTCTCTTCTTTCTGGTCACACAATGGTTAAACAACTTCAAACGCCTGGCTCTGTGTACACAGCTTCGGCCTTTTAAATAGTCCCCGGGCTCAAAGCTGCTTCGCCCAGGAACTTTTTCCATACAATGGGAAATTAGCATAAATATTTCGAATTTACAGTCCCGGACTTTTCACCGAAGACGTTTACTTTTGATTTTATTGGAACCAAATCGCTGCAGTCACCTGCTCTAAGCCTTGAATGGAATTGTGAGAAATGAAGGGGGAAGCTTTTCGGAGGGGGGAATCCGTGCTTGGCAGTTAGACTGCCCCAAATTGAAGCATTTATATGGTTTTTCATCATTGGTGACATCTTTACAATAACAATAGCAACAAATTATAACTGATTAAAAAGCAAAGAGAATTTGTTGGAGAGAAAACAACTGATTCTGTAACGAGAGGGGCAATGGGGAAAATAACCTGGATGAAGCGCATGTCATTTAGCAGGAGGAGTAGGGCTCAATGTTTCCTTAATTGTTTGGCATGGGGTGGGCAGGAGATCGATGCTGCCTTTCCCCCCCCCGCCCCCCCGCCCCACCGCCAGAGTCTCCTCTCCAAGGCTCCCCGCCCAAGGGTGGTGCTTGCAAACTAGCCGAGTGCAACAGCGCAGCTTAATGCCGGTTCTAATTGCTCTCTGAGTAATTTGGGCTGGCCTGCACGGCTGAGACTGAGCCGAGAGCCGGGACCAGGGCCGTAGAGCCACCCCCCCTCCGGGGCAGTGGCCTGTGGGAGAGGAGTGCGGCGGGGCTCTGCGGGGTGAAACTGCACCCCGGAGCCTGGAGCCAGCGAAGGGTGAGTGCCGAGCTCTTTTGGGAGCCGCAGCCCGCGCCCGGGGAGGAAGGGGTTAAGAGCCCCTGAATGCGAGCAAGGCCAAAGCTACTGGGAAAGAATATCTGGGGGGGGGGGGAATAACCAGTTTGTTTTTTTTTTTTCCCTCCAGCCTCTGGACCTTATTGAATGTCATTGAAGAAAGTTTTGAATGCCAGATAAAGAGAGGCGAATTAAAGTGTGTGACAGCGGAGGATAAGCAAACACAAAGAGAACTCTGTCACACTTTGGGGCAAAATCCGTGGGCTTTTTACCAAGTCTCTTCGCTATGATTGAATTAAGTAATAGGAAAACATTTTCTTTCAGTTTAGAGCCATTAGACAAAAACTTCAAAGCAAATAACACTTTTTAATGTGCGGCCCACAATGGATCGGGTTTTGTGCTGAAATGTTTAAATGGTTTGTTGTGCAACTCGGCGCGGGAGCGACCCGGGCCCAAGCAAAATAGCATCCCTGAGAGTGTTTTCGGGAGGCCTGGAAAGAACGCACACTTAATCCGCCATCGCTAAATCCGGAGGGCGCCGGCCGGAAAGGGGGCTCCTGCTTGGCGGTCCCGGACCGCGGGGCGCGCCCCAGGAATTGGGGAATATCGGGAAAGTACTCTGCCCACGGAGAAGGCCGGGCAGGAGCTGAGGCGCACGGGCCGCGGGGATAACTTGAGGCCCCGCGAGGGGCGCGAGCTCGCCTGGGTGTCCAGTGCCTCTCAGCTCCGCAGCCCAGCCCGGCGGCCTCGGTCCGCCGCCTGGTTTCCGGCCGCTGCCCTCGCACCCCGGGCGACCGCTCCCCGGGGACACCCTGGCTGCCGCGCTGGTTTCCTGGTGGGTGCGCCTTCCGGGACTGGCTTCAGCTGGCTGTGAACTTTACTCGCCCGAGCAAACGCCCCCCTTGGGCGGGGCGGCGTGAGAAGAGGCGGTGGGATTAGCCTGACAGCCCGAGTGAGGGGCCTCGGGGAGCCCCTCGGCCTGGTGGGCCCTTCTCTGCCCCCGGAGCTGGTTTTCAAGTGTCCATCAGGGACAGTTCAACATGGAATAATTTCTGTTGTCCCGCTCTTTTCTTCTCTTTCACACCGCCTCCTTTCCTGGTGGTCTCTAGAGAGCACGCCATTTTTCTCCTGGAAATGTCTCTCTAAGATATTTGCAGCAAATATATCTCGGCAAAAACTGCAGAAATTGGGAGGAGGGTTGGGGAATCCTTGTTCCTTTACCTTGTTCCTTTACATCTTCAAATGTCACTTTTCTTCTCAGGGAGGCCAACGACCCTGTTAAAAAATATCACTCCTTTCCCCCCACGTTCCCCACTCCCGTTCCTTGCTTTACAAATACCTTCTATCTTTCTGTGTCTTTTACTTGTTTTCCTGTCTCCGCCCCCCTCCCACCCCACTGAAACATATGCTCCTTTGAGGATCAACCTATTTGTCTATCTGGTGCATGACTGTATCCCACCTCAGAAAAGTTCCTGGCATATAGTAGGTGCTCAGTATATATTTGCTGGAGAAATAAATGAATACTGAGGCATAACTCAGGAGGTGGCATGGGTAAAAGGAGTTTTTCGTTTGCCCACTTATTACACATAGGCACTTAGGGGCATGGTGTGGGGCAACTTACCTGCAGGAATTGTCTGACTCTCTTGCAGCCTCTACACCTTCCCCAGTGCCTGAACCATCACAGGAGCTCAGTGTGTTGGAGTGAATGGCAGATCTGTAGGTACCCAGCCCTCCTCAGGAGTTTCTCACGTTCCTTCATAGGGTGAAGATGGTCCCATTCAAGGCAGTTGCAGTGTCCTGCTCTACAGGACTTGGATGAACCTATTGGGAGCTCAAGGCTAGGGTTTCTCATCCAAGGCTTTTTATTTTTTAAAGATTTTATTTATTTAACAGACAGGGTGAGAGAGCACAAGCAGGGGGAACGTTAGAGGGAGAGGGAGAAGCAGGCTCCCCACCAAGCGGGGAGCCCCATGTGGGGCTCCATCCCAGGATGCTGGGACCGCAAACTAAGCCGAACGAAGGCAGATGCCCAACCATCTGAGCCACCCAGGTGCCCCATTATCCAAGGCTTTTCATGGTATACAGGAGATGGGGTTGATTAGAAAGAGAAGGAATGTGGTACATGCCCTGGAATTATCAGTGGCCATTTCTGCTTTTTCTGGTTTGAGGCAATGGAGTGGAAATTCTCATTGTAAGTAAGGGACTGCTCACTTAACCAGGCCAGTAGTGGCTCAGACAACTCCCCTCGGGAGAGAGCAGCCTGTTCACTTGATCAGAGGGGCAGGAGAACAACTAGTGAGTTGAATGGTGAGTGCACCTGGGAGCCAGAGTGGAGTGTGCCTGGTGGGGGGTGGGGTGGGAGAGAAGTGCCTAAATGTTGGTGTGAGCGGAAGTGAAGGCTTAGCCACAAAGGGCCATGCTAACAGGTTTGTACTTGATCCTATTCAGAGATTTTTAAGCAAGGGAACTTAAGAAATATAACTGGAAGCAGTAGGAGCTCCTATAGATGGGGACACAGAGAGGCTAGAGCAGGATCCAGCAGAGTTGGCTTGCAAATGAACAATTACTGAATTCTTGAATGAACAAAAGCAGGGAAACAAGCAAAGAAAAGGTTAGTTCAAGTGATGGATAATGACCACCTGAGATCTGGAAAGGAGACATGAGGATCAGAAAGTGGAAATATTTGAGAGAATTTGAAGGGGGAAATGGGTAAGACCAATTAGGTGTGTGTATGTTTGTGTACGTTCGCAGATGCTGGAGGAGAAGGACATGAAAGAGAGAAGGCATCAAACACATAGATGACTGCTTGGTTGCTTGTTTGAGAGAAGGAGTGGAGTCATATCAAAGGCAGAGTCAGGGAACTCAAAAGCAGGACCTACTTTTGTTTGTGGAGGTGCAACATTATATCATATTTGGATGTGTTGCATTTTATTTTTCATTTTTTATTTATTTATTTATTTTTTAAGTAGTAAGTAATGTGGAGCTTGAACTCATGACCCTGAGATCACGGTCTGAGTTAGGATCAAGAGTCAGACTCTTAACTGACTAAGCCACCCAGGGGTCCCACATTTATTTTTTTTAAGTAAACTCTACCCCCAATGTGGACTCGAACTCAGGACCCTGAGAT